GTGCAGGGGGACACGTGCGGGGGGCAGGGGGACACGTGCGGGGGGGGACACGTGCAGGGGCAGGGGACACATGGGGGGGCAGGCAGGGCACACTCAGATGTCTTCATGCCAGTTGCTAGGACAGCCAGGGCTGCGGCCGGGCCTCCACCTCTCCATTGCTGTGCAGCGTGTGTGTGTGCATATATGCGTGTGTGTGCGTGTGTGTGAGCACGTGTGTGCGTGTACGCGCACGTGTGTGCATGTGTGTATGCGTGTGCATGTGTGTGCGTGTGTGTGAGCACGTGCGCGCGTGCGTGTGTGCATGTGTGTATGCATGTGCATGTGTGTATGTGTGTGTGCGTGTGTGTGCGTGTGCATGCGTGTATGTGTGCGTGTGTGCATGTGCATGCGTGTGTGCGTGTGTGTGCATGTGTGTGCATGTGTGCGCTGCGCGCATGTGTGCATGTGTGTGTGCGTGTGCATGTGTGCATGTGTGTGCATGTGTGTGTGTGTGCGCGCGCGTGCGCGCGTGTGCCTTCCCTTAGCTGGCACAGGCCTCCGCTCCCTCCAGGGGCCCCACCGGCAGGTGCCACCCTGGGTACACCGGCAAGGGTGGCCTGCAGCCACTTGTCCCCCAGCTGTCCTCTCCCAAAGCACATTTCTGGGCTGGCGCCCTTGTGGTGGGCAGGCCCTCCACCCAGGGAGCCTGGCCGCCCATGGGTGGAGGTTTGGACCCTCCACCCGGGGAGCCTGGCCGCCCCTTCGTGGAGCTGTGGGCCCTCCATGGAGCTGTGGGTCCTCCACCCGGGGAGCCTGGCTGCCCACCCATGGGGAGCCGTGGCTTCTCACCACTGGCCGTCTCGCAGACGCTTACCTTCTCAGCGCTGCTGAACACACCGGGCAGCCGTCTGTTCCTGCAAAGGCTGCTGTTGCTTCGACGGAGGTTGGGGACCATGCCCAGGTCCGCGGCCCTCTTGGAGTGCACCCCAAAGCCCTCCTCCTGCTCGGAGCCAGCTTTCCTTGGGGCCACGGGCTCCATCCTGACCCTCCCTCCGCCACGGTTTCAGCTGTTCCTCTGTCTGGTGTTCTTGAAAACACCATGGGGAGGGGGCACTCAGAGCAGAAAGGGGAAGAGGAGACAGAAGTTCTGGACACACACACACACAGTCCCGAGCACCCACATTCCCCGGTGCGTGCGCACACACACACACACACACACACACACACACTCCCGTCCCCTGCACGCACACATACACACACTCACAGTCCCGAGCACCCACATTCCCTGGCACACACACACTCCCGTCCCCCTCATGCACACACACACCACACACACACACAGTCCCGAGCACCCACACTCCCCGGCGTGTGCGCGCACACACACACACACTCCCGTCCCCCATACTCACACACACACACACACTCACAGTCCCGAGCACCCACACTCCCCGGCACACACACATACTCACAGTCCTGAGCACCCACTCCCCCCGGCACACACACACACTCATAGTCCCGTGCACGCACACACACACACACAGTCCTGAGCACCCACACTCCCCGGCGTGTGCGTGCACACACACACACACTCCCGTCCCCCACATGCACACACACACACACACACTCACAGTCCTGAGCACCCACATTCCCCGGCACACACACACAGTCCCGAGCACCCACATTCCCCGGTGCGCGCGCGTGCACACACACACACACAGATGAGGAGCACCCACACTCCCCGGCACACACACACACTCACAGTACCGAGCACCCACTCTCCCCGGCGCGGCCCCCGCACTCTGGGAAAGAAGCCCGCAGGCTGGACCCTGCGTCCCACCCGGCTCTCGCGGCCCTGTGCTGAGAGCGCTGACTGCGGCTGGTGAGTTCCTCTCTTTGCAAAGGAGAAGTCACGAGGGTCCTGTGGAAGTTCCTGGTCTGCAGGGCTCACCCCCCACCCCCCACAGCTGTCCTCACCAACTGCGGGAATGGGCCCAGCCGGCCAGCCCCGCCTCCCTCCTCGCTGCCCCCTGACGAGACAGACCCAAGCCGCCCTCCGCCCAGCCCCTCAGCAACACTGGCTGAGCCCACTCCGGGGCCCACAGCTCACGGTGGGGTCCTGGGGTGAGCTTGGGCCCCTCACTCATCCCCACCGGCCCCAGCCCCTCGAGGGCCAGTGGTCAGACAGCCTCCCGCACAGTCCGGAGGGCAGGGCGTCCACCCTGCCCCAATGCGGCTTCTCAGGGCCGCTGCGTGGCCCCTGCCGGCCTGCAGGCTCTTGACGGGGGCAGACAGCAAGGAGCGTGCCCGGGTGACAAGAGGGGGTCCCCCAGGACAGCCGTCCTCAGGATGCCCCAGGACCAGGGCGGGAGGCGGGCCCGTCTCAGGATGCCCCAGGACCAGGGCGGGAGGCGGGGGCGTCCCAAGGATGCTAACGCACTTGCATTCACACCCTGGCTTCTCAGCCGCTGTGGCCTGGCTCGCCTGCAAATCTGCAGCCCGGCTGAGAAGAACCCGGGACGCCGTCCACCCCTGCATCACCTCTGCCCCCAGACTGTAGGACAGACGGACAGGAGCCACGCCGCGAGTGTCAGCTGAGACGCTGGCCCAGCCCCTCCGTCCCCTTCCCTGAGCAATGGGAAAACCCAAGGCTGGCCACAGCCCTGTGAACTGCCCCGCCCCCTGCCAGCCATCTCCTGACCTCTGCCCACTGAGCCACCCTCTCCACACCCAGCCAAAGCTCTGCCCCCGGGTCCCCTGCACCAGCACAGGTGTGCACTGCACACTCAGAGGCCAGCGGCAGGGGGCCGGACACAGGACATGGAGGAAGGCCGGCTAAACGCACAGCGGAGGCTGACCACAGAACTCGAGACGCAGGCAGGCAGGGCCGGCCAGTGCACCAGGCTCCAAATCAGCTCCGTCCAGGCACTGCCACACCCCTCCGGAAGCCCAGAGCGCCCTGGCCTCGCTGAGACACGGACACCACACAGGACAGGCCGGCTGCCCAGCGCACACGGGACCTCAGCTCAAGACCCCGCCCGCCAGCCCCAAGTCACAGGACACGGAAGAGCAGGTCTGTGTGTGGGGACGGGGCCAGGCCCGCTGCTCCCCAGCCTCCCTGCAGGGCACGGGCAGCACTGGGAGACAAGCTGGGCGCCCCGTGGGCTCCTGTGAGCTAGAGCCCCACAGGCCCAGCCCCCAGGGCCGGACAGAGCAGACAGCAGGGCTGGCGGGACTGGTGCTTCACCCCCATGCCGGCCCTCAGACCCTCGCCCACCCCCTCCCCGGTTCCTGCAAGCACCGGACACCCCAACCGCCCCCGCCCCTGTGTGCACTGGGTACCCCACCTCGTACCCCAACATTCCACGCAACCCACACCTGAGCCTCTCCATGCCCCTCTGCCCCACAAGCACCTCTCCACCACCCCCCACCCTGCACCCGGCACCCCCTTTCTGTAGCCCAGCTGGACCCCACGCACACCTGCTCAGATGCCCTTCGCGGTCACCGCAGCCCTGGCCCCGCGGGGCGTCCCGCACCTCCCAGCCCAGCCAGGCGTGGGCAGCCCTCCCAGCCCGGCCAGCCCGGCCCCGCAGCGCTGCATGGCCCCGCAGCACTGCGTCACCAACCAGGTCGGTAGTTGGAGCAGAACCCGCCCCCCCTCCCCCCCCCCGCCTGCAGCCAGGAGCCTAACCCC